AATAAGTTTGCATTTTACGTTAATTTAAATTTATAAAGGCTCATTGTATAGGCTGTTACATATATAATAACGATCTTTCTGTAAACCTTATATATTCATAATGGCTGATGATGATGTTTGAAACATCAAAACATGTTCCGAAAATTGAAAAGCGTTGTTGTGTTTTTAAAAATATTTACAATACTTGTGCTATCAAGACCCTTTGGTTTTGGTGTTGGTTTTAAGTACAGTTTGAGATTTGCTGAGTAGTGTAATAATATTGGTAAGTACATGTAACTGGTTTGGTTTTGGCTTCACAACACTCAGTTCAAAACTGTTCTAGATATTCTACTAACTTCATACACAACACAATGACCAGTGCTGTCATTGATCAAATGGTTCTAAAGCATAGAGATAGCTTAGTATATAGTAATATAAAAATTTTTTTTTTGTTAACAATATGCAATGACACCTTATGTTACCCTATATTTCCAAAAGGTATTGATATATACATCCCCTGGCAATATTATCCACTTGTCAAAACAACAGGTCAGAAGATTAAGGATAATCTCATGATAAGAGATCTTGTCTCAGTAACTAAAACCAAACTATAGAGAAATAACTAGCAAAATAAAATGCCAAAAAAGTATGCTAAGAACATTTATAGGTAGATGTAGTTTCTATCGACTTTACTTGTATGTACATGTAGGATGTGTAGGACTGGTACCTAGTGCCAAGTGATGGTTACCAAGCTAGGCGCGGTAGCCCAGGAGTAAAAAAAGCCACGATTATCCGTTTCGTATCCAGTTTTAATAAAGTGCCTTCGTAGTTTTAGCCTTCGTCCGTCGTTTATTACAGATGTACTCACTTGGATCCAACTGGCTCTGGGTTTGTTCAGAATTCTCTCCATCAGGACTTTCATCTTGAAATTTATCCCTAAAATCCTTCAATGCTTCTTTAAGATGCTGCTTAGATATAAAATTTTTGTCAATATTAATAAACTTTTGCTTAGAGTCTTTGTCAATCTTGTATTTACTTCCATCATCTCCATCCATAAGCTTGGCTTCTTTTTTGCCGGTCTGTAAGTTCATGCGCACATGAAGTCCAGCTGGAATCCCCTGACCTGGTCGGATTGCTTGCCAATCAGATGTCGGTTGAAATACCTCTAAGTCTTCTTCATCTATTTGTTCAGCATTTGCAGTCACTTTCACATCATTGTCCTTGACATCATCATTGGTTTCTACCAGAACAAGTCCTTTTCGTTGATTTCCTAAACCTGAAGACAAGAAAAAAACTTCTTACCATATACAATTTAATTACACGAAAATTGTTGAACTCATACAGTAAAATTCTGACTGCAAGGACTCCTGTTTACAGGTCCCCCACTAATACTAAGGACCATCTACATGCAAAGAAAAAAAAACTATTCCAGTCACAAGCCCCCCAGATATAAGCATTCCTCCTATTTTCTTGCTTCATCACCGTCATTGCTCTCAAAGAACAAGTAGAGAGTGGGTACGAGACAATAAGAACAATTTCGTACCCAAGCCTCTTTGTATAGGTAAATACTGGTGGTTTTCAAATAAAGTCCTTTGATGTTAAATAAAATTAAAGCCTGTTTAAGAGATGCTTTGAATGGCAGATTTTAATATAAGCTGTTCTACACCTAAAACACAAAAAAGTTTCGTTATGGTATTTGATAAGGCACAAGAAAAATATATATACAGTGTAAGCTCTCTTAACAGACACTCTCATAAGTGGACAGCTCTAGTGTATAACCGGCTTCACAAAATTCTGTTTGAACTCCCACACAAACTCTATATTTATTTGTTTCCATAAGCAGACATTTCTGTAAGCAGCCGTGGACACTTTGAGGGGTTCTGATGTAGACTTTTCCTTGGTTCTTAATTGCTCCTGTGAGCAGACACTCAAAAAAGAAATCCCATTAGCCTTGGATTCTTATTTTAATCAATCAACTAGTATTGCAGTTAGAATCTGTATATCGCATAGTACAGTGGTTATCTGTATACAGTTATTGCCATTCTCAAAAACCAAACAAGATCATTTGAAATGGTGGTATTTTTTGCATTATCAATGCTTATTGTTAGCTGAGCAAGCTCCTGTAACCTGCCATATACACCTTCCAACTCTAGTGGCCGCTTACGAGAACCATTCTCATAAGCGGCCAGCTCCAGTTACGGACACCTTTTTCACATCCCGAAGGTGTCCACTTATGAGAACTTCCAGTGTATTTGCTCCACCTGACAATCCTATCAATAGGAACCTTGAGATCAAGTAAGGAGTGTAAGGATGACATACACTGTCTGTACTCTTTCCAGCATTTCACACACAAATGTATGAAATGACCTGGAATGTGATTACCCACTTTCCAGGGAACTTAGAGTTCTCGAGCTTCATCAGGAAAACAGAAATGTCCACCTTTCTTTTGTTCACAACGTTTAATTAAATGGCTTACTAGTCAATCTTGTACAGAAATAAGTCGACATCTCGGTCACATTAGATCAGAGATTTCCCCAAGCTAAACTAAGAAGTACCTCTGAAAATTAACTTGTGTACATTTATCCTTGCCCTTAATTATAAAGTACCCTTGTTTAATAACTGAGAAACTCTGAAGTCACTTTCTTAAATCGTAATATAGATCTCCTTACATCGTGGAACGAGAACGTTCTTTTCATGGTCTATCGCATGAACCCCTTCATGACTAAACTTACCCGATGCCACCAACACTAGGAACACCAAATACTGAAACATTTCAATTCTTCAGACTTTTTTGTCTTCTTTTAAGGTGTCTGGATTACAAATGGATACGGGAATACACTTTTTACCGAGAAAACTCGCTTTGTATTTTGTCATTTTGTACACGAAAACTCCTCAGCTGAAAGCCACGTATATGAATAACCGCTGACCGGACGTGAATGATGAAATTCACGCAGCGTGCCAAAGACTTGGAATCATGTTATTGGCGGATTTTACAGTGACAGATAAAATGCCAGCATTGCAAGTTTGCAACAATGAAAAGAAGTAATATTCTTATTTCAGCCATACACGTTGTCTTTCCTTCAACATTCATATAAATCTCTGCATACTTCTTAGTATTATTTATCTTATAATTTATTTATATTGTTGAGAAAATAACCCTTAAAAATATCGACCAAGAAAGAACTGATCAGAACGCTTGGATCTACCTCAAGACTACTTTTTGCCATATAATTAATATGCATAAATAGTTTTAACTTAGGAAATTATGTCTCCAGATTGGTGCATTATTGGCGCATTTAGACAATTCCGTCCCCATAATGCCAACTCTTCTGCACAGAATAACTCCAAAATCCTTGGAAATGATTATATGGATCTAGCTGTTCGTTTGACTTTTGACACTTTTGTTAAATGTCAAGATACCCACATTACTTTGACCTACTTTCCCTCATCTTGTTCCCAGAGACGACGTGACAGAACAGGACAGCTTAGAGTTGACTATTTGTTAACCAGTTCATTATAATTATGTCTTTTTCAAGAGAAAATTCATTTTCTCTTGGTTTTTTCAATAACCGTGATTCGATGTTGACTAAACGTTATTGACAAGTCTACAAGTAAAGTATAAGTTAAATGCATGTATAAATGCATGTACATGAATAAATAATAATGAAAATGAATCAAGAACTGTGACTTCCTTCCTCACTTCCTGTTACGTGACTACGTCATGAGACGTCATCATCAAGTTTTTACTCCGCTGACCACTGCTACTGTAGTAGCAGCTCAAAAACAACAAGCAACGGAAACAGAAAGAACTGCACCCCACATCCCTACCCAATCGATTTTTCTGGATTTTATTGCCGTGGGATGGCAGATCTATAACTTACTGTATTAAACAGTATGACCTGAACGAAGTTTCAAATTTTTCAGTCGAAGGAACAGCGAACATTTTGCTCCAGATATGGTTTCGTACGTGGCGTCGCGAGTTATCATGTAAGTATTGGCACGTTTTTCGACCTTCTCTTCTTTCAAATAAATGACATTTCGTTTTATTCCTTTCACACAGGCTCGTGTTTGGGACTCTTTATCCAGCGTATTCTTCATACAAAGCTATAAAGACGAAGAATGTCAGAGAATATGTAAGAAATATCGATTTTGTTTCATGTTTTGCACACACATCGCCATATTTAATTTTACTCTATGCTAGCTCCTCACACTGCTCACACGATCTCGGTGATTTTGTTAGAAAGTGCTGTGAAAACAAGATTATGTTTTTATCTGAGTCTTAACTAGGTTAGTTGAAGATTAGGTTGCAGCTTCTAATTATCGAAGTGTTACTTATAATCGAGGATAATAACAGCTTATCAAACATGAAAGCTAGTAGTTGGTGCTGTTGCTCTTCATTTTCACGGTTCTCGAATCGGCAAATTAGTTCACCTTCGACGCAGTTAATATTTTGATTTTAATACAAGATATAATTATCGTCAACCTAGACCTTTTCGTTTGCTGTTGTTTTGGCGAAAAGAACGTATTCGTTTATGATGCAAATATAAATAATTGCAAGCAGATTTAAGCTTGGTCGATACAGTCACTGAAATTTTCAGATTTTACACAAGTTTAAGCCTATATGTAGGCTTACTTGCAAGCTAAAGGGAACGTTTTTTTGAGTTTATCCACATTTTAGCGTACCCTGAAAAGTGGATTTCATTCTCTGGTTATGATGAGGCGACATGAATATTTTCTGCCAAGGCTTACATGATATATTTGCAGACCTGTCTTTTTCACTTACACGTAGTGCATTTAATTAAATTTCCTCCGTTATAGAGTTTTCTGTCCGAACGTGCAGAATATTTGCTTCAGTCTGTTCCTTTGATTTCCATAAAACAGCCAAATACTGGCTTTAAATATGATAGAGACTTGATTTTCTGCCAGAAATCCAAGAGACTTGAGGTTAACTATAAAAATTAAGTACCAGCAGAAACAGGTATTTTCATTGACCGATTTCATCAGTTTCCCAAATTTTTATTTTAACACTTTTTCTTTTCTTCGTAAATAATGTTTTAAAATGATTCTGTTTGAACAGTTAAATTAAATGTGTTTCTGAAGCCATTTTCCGACTAGGTTAAATTTGGAATAGATTCCAAGCATTTCAAGATTTATATCAGGCACATTGTTTTCTTTATTTCTGCAAACTGCATGACTCAACTGGAATGATTCTTTGCTTGTGTACTTAACAAATTTGCATTTCACAACTGCTGTTCCTGTTATGTCATATCACCACTAATCCTCTGTGGTAGTGTTACTCATCGTACCACTAGAAAAAATAGGTGACTTTGTACATGGAACATTTTTTTAGAGTAAACTATATTGCTATGTTATTTTGCATTTTATCTTTGCCAAATGAGAAGGACTTTGATCTGCATAATTTGATGACAAAGAAAGTCAGCCATGTGAATACGAATAATACAGGTCTACTGAGTAAACAAATGATCAATGGCACACATTCCTAGCCTGCTCTGTCCTTGATTATGTACATACAGTTAGAGTATTGGATATGTTAAACTGTTCTTGTTTGCCATTTGGATTGGTAGCAATTGCAAGTATTGCAGCTTTTTGTTGAATAATAATCTTTTAATCTTTTATAGCTACTGCTTGGAGCAAAGCAGTGCCTTTTACAGACTCACTAGTAGTTTTCAAAATTTTTGTCCGTAAATTGCTAAAAGCATCCAAATTTGATGATGAATACTTGTGCAACAAAACATGTTTTCATGCCTAAAATAATTAATTTTTACAAAGCTTATAACTTTCTTTTAAAATATATTGAGCATTTCTGCCCTTTCAAAAACATGAACTCTAAAGTTCAGAACCTTAGAACTGCCAATAATAATATTATTGTGTTTTGCACTGCCAGCACTAACAGTACTACAAAAATCAGTGGACCTTGGGAAAAAAAGAAACAAACAAAATTCCAAACCACAAACTTCTCTTAACCTCATTACAGTATTGACAGCTTTGTTTCTGAGATTGTTGAGATTTCTGCCACTATAATTATTGGATATGGATTTCTGTAAATTATACAATTATTAGTGATGGTAATGTTGGATTTCAAGACTTGAGAGTTTGCATGTTACTGCAAAGTTTATGTTATATTTAAGACATAATTGCTGCTGTCTTTATTTTTCAGGTTAGGTGGATGATGTACTGGATAGTATTTGCTCTCTTTATTACCTTAGAACTCTTTGCTGATCTTCTACTTGCATTTTGGTAAGTCTGGCACTCCCTGGTATCCCATCCAGTAGATTTTAGTTGTAAACATTCAGAGTTTCACAGCCCTTGTTAAAAGTAAAAACTGTAGATGATATTAAAATGGACGATATTTTTCACCTCAGGTTTCCCTTCTATTATGAAATAAAGATAATGTTCATGCTTTGGCTTCTGTTGCCAGCTACAAAGGTACGTGTATGTAATTTGTACAATCATATGGTTGCACTTTTAACCAATACATTTTATTTATACCATTACTATCAATAAGAATACACTGTACCTGTCTCTTGTAAAGTCATTTCTTTCCCCAGCAAGGGAGAAATCTAACTCTAATTTAAGAGAGACACATTTGCAATTTCATATTAGTTGTTACAGAATGCTGAGATTGAACCTCATCCATGTCATTTTTAAAGAAAGCAATAAATTAGTGTTCTTTTGGTCGTATATCTGTACATTTTTATTGTTACACGGTGATAATTTTCCAAAAACATGGTTTAAACTGCTTAATAGGTGTTATTGACAAACTTGAATTTTTTAAGCAAATTAAATACTGAACAGAAAATATTATTAATAAGGTCATTTTCCTGAGGGCTTATTTCTTCCCAGTACTACTTAGCTGATGTAGACCTTAGCAGTTTTGAGTCAGGTGTGTACATGTAACCTTTAAGTGTCATATACTGACTTTGATTTTCTTTCAGGGCTCAAGCATTTTATATCGCAAATTTGTACATCCATGGTTATCTCGGAATGAAAAGGTAAGTTAAACAAATTTCTTTTTGTTTTATCAGTTGTGGTAATGAACACTATATCGAGGCTTCTCTAATTAAGTGAGTTAATCTTGACTCTTTCTGATTCGCCAATTTGTTGCTTAGCAATGACGTCATTAGTTTTTACACATGGACGTATATAGATAGTGTTAGGGGCATATTCCCGCCAGTAGTTCAAGTTTCAGTTATCGTGCACAGTACGTGTTTTTAAGTAAATTAAGTTTTAAGCTACCCTTGACTATTAAGAGTGCAAGCAGGAACTGATGTTTTATGTTCAATTATTGTCAATTAAATCACCGTCAATCACAGCTGATCTCTGTGATCTGTGATCTCTGGCTTTATTCGATTAGTAAAGCATCTCCCACACACGCTAGTCTCATTGCGACAAGTTGTTTAGCAAGTGACAATTCAGCCTTTCAACAGTCGCCGTGAACCTGACGTTACAGTTGTTGTTTGGTTTGTATTGGTTACTATTTTTGTTTTTGTAGGACATTGACAGCTATATTGCACAGCTTAAAGAAAGTGGGTATGACACCTTTTTGAGAGTTAGTAAGAACAGCCTGTCCATTGCTGCTGACACCATGATAAAGACTGCAACCACGGTAACCATCTCAGTCAGTTTATGGCTTTAACTAACTCTTTAGTCAAAGCTCCTCCTTTGCCATCAGTCATTTGTAGCCTCACTCGAGACTTAAGAGCTAGACAATCAGGTTCCTTGACACACACCTTGTTTTAACTTATGTTCTAACCCTGCATCTTACCATAAACTATGTGCAGGGTTGTGCAGGGTTGTAGCTAAATAGTCTCCTGGCTAAGATTTTCATTGAGCTGGTCACAATTTTTCGCAAGGGACCTGGTACAAAATTTTCATCCCCAATTTTTCGCAACGCCTTGAATGCAGGGCTACCAAGCTTCACATTTGCAAGATGACATACACAGTACATGGAAAGAGAACATTACTTTACTCGTTATAGTGGCACCCATACTCAAGGTAATCAGGAATTTATTCCAAACTTTTCAGTGATTTAGACGGTTTGATATGGTTCAGATATCGAATGATTGTGCTTGCATAACCTAAAAACCGTTCATTGTCCTTTACCAAGTAATCGCCAACAGCCAGCCCTTAGCGTCAACCTTGTAGTGTATCATCCCATTTCTGTACAGCTATATGACTTGTATATCAGAAAAAAGTGTAATAAGTCACAGTTTTTGAATGCTGACAGTTTGTCGCATTTCCAGTTTGTTGCGTTTCTAGTTCCACGCATTTCTGGAAATACAACTTTTAGTGATGTTTGCATAATTATATGGCTTTTTGCACAATTTTAATCTAGGGGCAAACTGTTTTGGCTGAAAAGCTACGTCATTACGGCACAGATGCAACAGATAATAAACCTGCAAGACTTCACAAAGCCAGGTCATGGTACGGTGGAATGAATGCCATTGACAATGATTACTCACCAATTGATGAATCTGAAGAGTTCAATCTTATAGAGGAAAGGGAAGAAGAGGAAGAAGAGTTTGTCAATCCAGATGCAGAAAGGTGTGCAGTTTAAGGTGGCTTACTACAGTTTTGAGGTAGTAAATGAGCTCAACTCCAAGCAGTGTGGAAAGGAAGTTGTGTCTAAAAGCCAGTGGTGGATTTTGTGCTTCACTTACACAATGGGCTACTGATTGAATTTTTTTTTTTTGAGAAAATTATTTTTATAATATTCAATTACAGAAACTTGTACAATAAAAGACTTTTTGTTGGGGAGGGGGGGGGGGGTGGGTGCGCTAGTGAGAATGACTAGCTCAGCTCAGATTAGTTACTACTCACCCAAAGGGAAAGCCAAACATTGAACTCTTTCTAGTACTGTCAGCTTCATTCCTCAGATTTGGTTAATATAATCCTTTGTCTAGATTAGTATCTAAAACTTTACTATTCATAATGGTTCCCATACAAACACAACATTGGATGTTTTTTGCCTACCCACCAAGATGGCTTCCAAAATGCGATGAAAGGTCTATTTTATTGGCACTGCAAAACATGACAATGTTTCCAAAGCTTTAAGCTTCCTAATGTCAAGTCCAATCAGTGTGACATGTACAGTGCTATATACAAGCTGAAACTTGTAAGTTGCCCCGTCTTCCTTTGTCTTGTATGATTATGGTAATGCTTTTAATATCATTTTCTTCTTAGTGCAAAACTAAGGGACGAATTGAGAGAGAATCCTGAAGAATCTAAAAGCAGGGTCTCCAAACAATCTTCTACATCACAGGGCTCAAGCCGTTATAAATCATCTACTCTTCCGCGTTCCCATGGGGTAAGTCTGTTTTAATATGCTACATTGTAGATCCAGCTATAATGTGTACCATTCTGTGAGTATACCATTGAAGGTAATTTTTTTCAACTATTTTTTCTTACTGTTTGTTTATGATTCTGTTCTATTTTTAGAAAACCTCAACCCGTCCAAGGGTTCATGGTTCAGGCTATGACCATTTTGAGGTACACATGGTTTTGTTACTTTGTTAAGATTGACATTATTTTACTTTAAACTTTAAGAGAACCTGATGACTTTTGTACTGTAGCATAATAATGTCCTACAAAAGTTGACATAACTAGAGACTAGTAGATTATCAGTTACCTTTCTTCTATAGTTATCCAAGCCTGATGAAGATTAACTTTTATTAAATACTTTTTAAATTAGGTGGAATTAACCAAACATACATGTAATGTTTAGATACTAAACTTTTATTACTAACAATACAGATTAATTTTAATTTCTTACTAATTTAACAGTCAACATCAGCTTCATACTATTCTGGATCCTCCACGAGAACTTATGAGGTACACAGCCATGTCTCTGCTGAGTTTTCTTGAGCCAGGCACCAGTGTGTCCAGTGTGTGCAGTGTGTGGCAATGTTTGCCATTTTCAGACGTCTTAATTGCCTTGCACTGATATTACTATGACTGTTACTAGCTAAGGACCTAATAGGACCTAAACATTAATTTGTTTGTTACTAGCATACAGTGTAGCATGTACAGGGAGGTTGGGCAAAATGATATCAAATGTATATATATATTTTTTTTTTCTTTTTTATTTCAGACATCTACTCTTCCAAGACAGTATGAGGTGAGAAAACATATACTCTGACTTATGCCTCTTTGCAGAACTTTCCATATATTAAACTGTATCTCAGAAACTTCTCGTTTCAAAAATTAAAAACTTTTTCTTTCTTGGGATCCTTCTAAGGTTAAAAATGATTTTACAGGTGGTTTAACTGGTTTTCTTCAGGAAACTTCTCCAGTTGCTTGAAGAAGACTAGTTAATAAGTAAAAACGATGTAACCTCAGAAGAATCCCAAGGTGAAGGAAGAGAAAACAAGTTTCAATCATCATACAAGAATCTGTTGTCTATTATGCCAAGTTTATGGAATGTTTTTGGAATCGCATTATACATCAAGCTTATTGCTATTCATGGGTACTGTTCTGTTCTAAAACATATCTATTGCTTTTATCAGTTGAACATTATTTCGTCAAAACTTTTAGAATCTCACTATTTTACTTTATTTTAGTAGACTGAATAATAACTCGTAAACCCTAAAGGAAATATACTTAAAATACACGTAAATATAAAAGACGCGTTAATTTGAATATTAAAAAGCAGTCCATTACTCAGACAGGATTGATAAATAAGTTAATTTTATCATTAAATGTCTATTCAATCACAAAGCTGATGTAAAAGACTAATAAAGTGATACTGACATCACAAAAAATATTTCAACAAACCATGCATGCAGCATTGTTAGGTAGTAAAAGTTAGAGTCTTCACAAACAGTGAAAATGATCAGTCATGTAGAGAAAAGGAAAACTCTTAATATGTATAGTGATTGTGAAAAGGTAGTCTCTCTAGTATGTCAAGTTCACAGTACACTCTGATGTTGTGCTCTTGTTGAAGCTTGTCATAACTTTCTTCTGTGACTCTCTTCAGAAGCAGATCACACGCTACACACAGGCTTTAAACATCAGTGAACTGTAAAACTTCCTAGTTAAGTTTGTGAAGAGATTTGACAATAAACGTCTTGACTGTGTAGTATCTACTGTAGTACCAGCAATGTCAGCTTTGGTGAAGTATCACTGGTAAAGTGTTTAAACCAAAGATTTATGAATTCAGTGGTAAAATGCCAACTAAAGAAGAAAATTTGTCAGAGCCTCTCTGTGTTATTTCTGTAGCATCTGTGTTTATTCCAGATCTATTCAGCTTTGTCATAGGGTGTAACTTCAGGAAGCTCTTTACAATGGAGAACTTAAACTGGCATATCTCAAAAAAATTATTTTCTATTGCTAATTAGTAAATAAACCCCTTCAGGCAGCTGGTGTGTTGGCTGATAATGTCCATGGCTGAGAGATTGTCTGAAAAATGAATATTTGGCTGAGAAGAGAAGTTTTGAGGGCAAATGTGAAATTTTGAGGACAATCTTCAGCCAAGGTCATTATCAGCTGGCATACCAATGCAGCCAAAAAGGGGTTTATTTATTTTACAACCCTCCCATTAATTTTCATATCACAATTGATATGTCTTTATTTATTTAGACGTAATTTATTTAGTCAATTAATTTTTGTTTATTTCGAGGGCCATTAGTTTATCAGTTTTGTTACTGTCAAATGTTACCCTCTCCAATAAAGTCTACTACTACTACTAATTGAACCACTCATAAACGTGGTGAAAAAGCCGGTGGTGATATGATGGCGAATGTGTGTGATTGACATAAGCAAGCAAGTACATTTGATTGGTTTAACTAACTTTTTTCCCACTGTGATTGGACGAAAACTTGACAAGCTATCATGTGAAATTAACTCTTGTAACGCCCCTTAGATCAAAAATTCAAAAACTTGATGTACTTTCCAGAACAGCATTTGCAACCAGCTATTTAATATCACTATCGCTAGACTCAACAAAGCAAGTTTGGTTTCCTTCCATGTAAAATAAGAGGAAGGAATATTTGAAACTCTTGTGCTGACTGTGTTTCTTTTCAATGGAAAGTCAGAGGACAAATGTCATCGCGGGCAGGGGTTATTGCGTGATAACTGTCCTGTGAGTTTTCACATGACATAAAGTATCCAATACAATTGCACCAAAATTAATGGGTGGGTTATAATGAAAGACATAATCAAGGACATGAAAATATATTTTCTTAATATTTGAAACTCTATTCAACGAACTTGATAACTTGATAAAAATGTTCTTGGAATTTCAGATTTAATATTTTCCAAGTCCAAAAAGAATTACAATAGCCATGTCGTACTGTAGCATTGATAATAAATAATGACCTGTTCTTGCTAGAATTCCATTTTTTGGGGATTATCCACATAGCCAGTTCTGTAGCAAGTAGACTAAAGAAAAAGATGCAATATATGTTTGACTCCAATCCTCTCTCTATTGTTTGGATTAATAAGACATTCAAGCAATAGGTCAGTTTTACAAGGTGCATTATACAGTACAGCCTGCTTAACCTTGTAAATGAGTCCTGGGCAAGACTAACCAAACTGTGCTAACACATAACTCTTTTATTTCAGACAAGAGCACAAAGCAGAAGTCAAAGGAAGATCATCTAGATCTTTTGTTCTTCTCATCTGCTTTTTCTTATTACTTTTTATTACTTCAGCATGTCAACACTAGGGTTCAACCCAGACGAAGCCAGCGGAACAAAAAGGCGCGGTCACTTCCTGTTATTCCTAATGTCCTAAATGAGGAACAATGCTAGTTTGTGACAAGGAATTTTGCATTTTCTAAACTTTTGTCTTGTCAGTTTATTAAGTAGTATTTTTAATTATAAATAGTGTTGATTTTTTGCAAGGCTTTTGCACAGGGGATTGTGTTGTGTTCAAAGTATCTGTCTTCTTAACTGTCATCTCAAGTGAATTCAGGATGAGATTGTGTCCCGGGAGGTACTCTACAAATTCCTCTACTGGGAGGCTCCACCCCAAGGTCCAACCCCTTACCCTTTTGTATACCATTTTGGCAGAAAATGTACCCCTTTCACATACTTTCATAACTGGCCTGTATTTGTGACTAAATCACCAAGAAAGGAAGTCTTCTTGTCATATTCATGTAGTACCTGATAAATGAAATGAAATCCCTTGTACCCCTGTATATACCTTAAACCTGAAAAAGGTTTAAGGTTTGGGCAGAGCCTCCCTGTATAGGCCATCATACGGAGTACCCCAGGGATTGTTTGAAAAATTTTGCTCTTCGCCCATATAAAGAAAATGTTTTTCCCAGTGCCCTTGAAACTTCCAATTGTTATCATTCTAAACTTTTTATATATTATGGGAAAATAAGAACTGACAGGGTGAAAATAAAATTATCAACAGTTACTTCAGAAGTAAAAAAAAAAACTTTTCCAGCAATTTGGTACTTACAGACCTTGGAAAAATTTGTCAGTTTAAAATCCAGTTGGTTCTTTTAATCCCAATTAAACTTTTTGTTTCCTGTGACTCCAACCCTTATCCAGTGGTTACAAATTCATAGCACAGTCAGTAATATTGTGCTATGCTGGAGAAAATATTTTAAATTGTAGTATACATGTACCTTTGAGATCTAATAGTTACCTAGGTAGGACAGTCAGTGAAATAATTACCAATCTTGTTTCCCCTGAGTGAATCACATTTCACAAAGAGATCGTTGGTAACATTTACCATACTCATGGTTTTGCTAATCAGAATGTCATGGGTGTTGAACAAAATGTGTTCTTGGTTTGATTTGAATAATGTTCAGAGCACCTCCAGTAGAAATTTACAAGACTAGTGCTTATTCAACTGACTGGACAACATTTTCAATTTTTAGTTACAAGGTGTACATGTCTCTGCTATTTTTATTTGGTTGTAAATACTGTTAGAACGAAATGTTACTCTAGACTACAGTGTCATTTGCATATAGTATTTTGTGGGTGCATTCCCACTGAGCAGTTTCTTGTTCACACTTAAGTGTTTACTGTGAAGCAAATAGCAACAAGGCAACACCTTAGATAGTAGAATTTTATATATATTCAGGGAACCAATGTAAATACTCAGTCATGTTTTTGTTGGTTTGCATAGTTTATTTGCTTTACTGAAACAGTGTACAATAAAAGAGTGAACTTGAATTCAATTCAGTTGGGCTGCTGAATTGAAATGTTGTCTTACGGGTATAGGTAGAAAGACTGGGCCATTCATGGGAGGCTTTGCTGCACATGCAGGCATACTTTTTGCCATGACTGAATCATGTTGTCTTCAATCTTTCCCACTGGCTCATCCTGATATACTGTAATTAACTTTCACCTTTCAAATCGTATTTTAAAATTCCACTTTAACACTTAAATCTGATGTTAAGTTATTATGTGTATGTAAGTTACCACATTGATGGATACTCAAAACGTCAACTTACATACTCTGATTACAAAGTTGATTGCACAAAGGCGGCAAAAGAACTGGTGACACAAGTTACACAAAACATTGCCGAGAGTGCAGTAGTGAGCTGCAAAGCATCTCAACTGGGAAATTTTTTATACAAACTTTGCTCAAATACTAATGAAGCAGAGTAAAGTTTTCTCTGTAAAGGTGTCCCCAAACCTCCATTTGCTAGCCCATGACACCCAGGAAAGGTGATAAGTGTTAACAATAAGCATTAAAATGTCATGGCTTTTACAATCAGCCTGAACTGCTAGTTATCTCCACCCCTTGGATTAAACCCTCAGGTTTGTGTCAAGGGACAAGGCAAAGGCACACATTTCAGGCCACTCCTTCAACATCCCACCAAAAGTGAGCTATATTCTCAGTATTAAACTATAACCACGCATGAAGCTTAGTGAGCTTAGTGAGCAGGGACGACAGCTGAAATTCCAAGTGAATAGTATGCATAGTGCATTTTATGCAAGGAAACTTGACAATAACCTTTAGATTTCTTTAGGCCTGTTTAGGATTTAATAAATTGCATGGCTTGAAACAGTTTTTTAAGGCAACAGGACAAGTTTCATTTTCGTTGTTTATTCTTTTATTATTTAATCTAAATTAACTGAATATCCTACAGGGTAGGAAGGATGTACAAGGTTTTGAATTTTTATGTTATTCAAAGAGTTGAAAATAATGTATTAAATATTGCTAGGTGAAGGCAAACCCAGGAATCCACCCTCTTTAGCTAACAGTAATCTTTAGTAAGCTTCTAGCCTGCAGAACAGGTGTAATTTTTTTTGCGTAGTTTAGGCGACTCTATTCGCCTAAACTGCGCAAAAAAATTACGCCTGTTCTGCAGGCTAGAAAGCTTCCAACTTGGAACAAAGATTTTGAGAAACTGGGAATTTATATCAACTTCTGTGTACTGTGCCGACTGGTTCCTTTGTTACAGATGCACTATGGGGAAATAAGTAAACTTTGAAGTGAACTCAACAAAGGGCATCTGTGAACTGGGCTACTCATACTCATTTAAAAGTTAAACAAAAACTTTCATTGTAAATGGGAGGGGTCTCATTTCATGCAACTTTTATCTCATTCAGTGGTGAATAAATGGCACTTGATGGACTCAAATTTTTGGACAGCATGCTGTGATCAGTCACTTGAAGTTCACAATGGCAGGATTAAGCATGCAGCCTACATGAACATTAGGCACATGCTTTGTCAACAGTTAAAATCCTTTAAGTCACAAACTTCAGGGTACACATTTCCTTAAAAACATTTAAGGAAATTGTAATACACTTCATCCTTGTGCATTGTTCAGCTAAAGAACAGTAAGGAACTGTGAGGAGAAGTGTTGTTGGTGAGCATTTGGCTGTGCATTGTGCTTGTCCATTCTTCCCCCTCATGTTTTCAGACAATCCTGCATGTTCACAATGCAAAAATGCATGTGCAGTTTGACATGCTAACTGTTCCCTCAGTAAGGTACATGTAGTATTAAGCAGAGTATCTTAAGACAACAATACAGACTGATTCAGTATTGTTTGCTGGGGCAGATACAGGCTTTTAAAGAAGGGGATGGAGATATGCACTGCTGAAAGCTGTCCATTTTATGGGGGTGCCTGGAAAATTTTATAATCGAGGTTCCACGAAAAGGGATTTCCAGCATTCTGAGGCCAAGTCAGAGTGTTATAAATGTCTGAACCCCTCCTAGATCTGCCCCAGGTTTGTATCGTTAAGGACTCTGGTTGACTGTTACTCTTATTTCAGTATTTAGTTTTGGAGGTTGCAACTTGGGTTGAACTTGCTGTAGGCACTCTTGCTTTTAATTACTGTTATATATATATA